AGAAAATGTACATGCATGCATGGTATGGTCCAATTCTAGTACAATTCCTATATGAATTCACTTAGTTCACTAACAATCTTGTTGGATCTAACTCAATTACTCAATGAAGAGCTTAGTCTCTTACCTAGAGGCTTTAATCTCCAAAAATGAAGGTTGAGGCTCTACAAATCTTCTTCAATTATCAACAATTCTTAGCACCTCCTTGAGTTGAGCTCAATCTCCAATTCTTGAACCAAATTCCCCTCCTCTCACCCTCTCTCACGTTTTTCTCTTTTAGAATGGGCTCAAGTGTGATCAAGATGAATAAAAGAGGTGAGTGGGGCTCAATTAGCCTAATAAGTAGTAATTTATTCAAAAGTAAACAAATGGCATTATTTTAATCTAGTTTAATCGTTCCGAACCGAATTTTAATTAAACCTACCATAAAATTCTATAAATCCTAATTAGCACATAAATCAAGTCAATTTCTGGTTCGAACGCTGATAAGGCTTTCAATTCGCAAACCAAAACTAAAACATGAATAGATCTTTCTACGCCTAACAGATATAAACACAACAATGCAACACACACGTGTGTTTTAATTCAGAATTTCACCTTAATTGCTAATTAGGCATAATTAATCATGGATTAACGTTAATCATTGGTCAGGGTTATTAAAATGCTATCCATGGCTTAAACCTTATACCTCTCATAAACTTCAAACCAAATTTATTCCTTGTGTATTTCTTGGTTATCAACCTTCTATTAAAGGTTATAGGTGCCTTGATCCTGCCACATGAAGAGTCTATATCTCTAGACATGTGGTCTTTGATGAATTCTTTTTTCCTTTTCAGTCTTCTCATTCTTCTGTTTCTGCATCATCTTCAGTACCACAGTTGCTGAATTTCTTTTGGTCTCTCTCAGATCAGTCCAGTTCTTCCTGTCAAACACATGTTTCTTCTTCTTCAGCTTCACCTTTCCTATCTGCTCTCACAACAACTCAGACTGCCCCTGCAGCACCTCAACATACACATTCTTCTCAAGCTTCACCTGCTGATGTCCCTCAGTCAGCAGCTCAGCCATCAATTTTCTCTCCTACTACTGACCTTCCTTCAACCTCACTCAAGCCATCAATTTTCTCTCATACTGCTGACTTTTCTTCAGCCCAGGCAGCTTCTTCTTCTGCTCCTGAAACTCAGCCAGAAGCTCACCCAGTCTCTTCCATTTCTGTTCCTCTTCTATCCACAGTTCCATCTGATCAGATTGCTATTTCTAAAATTTCTATTGATCTTCCCTGTATTTCTTCCAATACTCATCCCATGATTACCAGATCCAAATTAAATTTTCCTCATTCTTCTCTCACTGCTTGTCTTTCTTCTTCCTCTCCTCAGTCTACACCACAAACCTATCAACAAGCAATTTCTTCCTCTGTTTGGCAGACTGCTATGCTTGAAGAATTTCAAGAATTACAAAAACAAGGCACTTGGTCTTTAGTTGATCTTCCACCTAGAAAACAAGCAATAGGCTGCAAATGGGTTTATAGAATCAAGAAAAATTCTGATGGTTCTATAGCCAGATATAAGGCAAGGTTAGTTGCTAAGGGTTTTCGTCAAACTGAAGGGGTGGACTATCATGGGACTTTTAGTCCTGTCGCTAAGCAACCAACTATCAGAATTCTGTTATGTCTTGCTCTACATTTTGATTGCTCTACATTTGGATTGGCCCATCAAGCAGCTTGATGTATCTAATGCATTTCTCCATGGTGTTCTTGAAGAAGAAGTTTATATGGTCCAACCTCAAGGTTTTGTTCAACCTAATCAATCTCAGCTTGTTTGCAAGTTACACAAGGCCCTCTATGGTTTAAAGCAAGCTCCTAGAGCTTGGTTCTCTACCTTCTCCAACTTTCTTCTCACTCATAAATTTGTTCAAAGCCATTGTGACTCTTCTCTTTTTATTAAGAAAACTTCTACTGCTATTACCATTCTTCTCATTTATGTAGATGACATTCTTCTCACAGGAAGTAATCCTCTCTATGTTAACTCTTTCATTACTCATATGCATACAACCTTTTCCATGAAGAAGCTTGGCTTTGTCAATTATTTCTTGGGTATTTCTGTCACCAAAACTGCTTCTGGTTATGTTCTTTCTCAGCAAAAATATGCCTCAGGTTTGTTGGCCAAGGCTGGTATGAGTGACTACAAATCTTACTCTTCTCCCATGGCTACTAAGTCCACTTCCAGTTCTCTTACTGCAACAGATGATTCTCTCTTTTCTCAGCCAGCTTTGTACAGAAGTTTGGTCAGAGCACTTCAATATCTTACCATTACCAGACTAGATTTAGCCTTTGTAGTTAATCATCTTTGTCAGTTTATGCACTTACCTATGACTAGTCATTTTACCTCAGTCAAAAGATTACTAAGGTCTCTTAAAGGCACCATATCTTATGGCCTTCATTTCACTTTTGGACCTCTTCTTCTCAATGCATATTCAGACTCAGATTGGGCAGGTAATGCCCTTGATCGACGGTTCACCACTGGTTGCTGTGTCTATCTTGGTCCTAACCTTATCTCTTGGTCTGCCAAGAAACAACCAACTGTGTCTAGATCTTCTTCTGAGGCTGAATATAGGGCTTTAGCACAAACTTCAGCTGAACTTAGTTGGCTTGGGATGTTGCTTACTAAACTTCATATCTTTGTTCCTGTGCCTACCCTATGATGTGATAACTTATCTGCCATAGCTATGAGTAACAACCCTGTGTTTCACGCCCATACTAAACACATTGAGGTCGATTATCACTTTGTTTACGAACGAGTTGCCTCCAAGAAGCTTCATATCTGTCATATCTCCACTTCTGATCAAGTTGCTGGTGTCTTTACTAAACCACTATCTGTTGCTCGATTTCAATATCTTCAGCACCAGCACAATGTCCTTCCCAGTCCACTAAGCTTGAGGGGGAATGATAAGCAACCAGATAAGCCACCAGCCACTTAGTCCACTCAAGCCAAGGCTTCAGCCAAGACATCTTCAGTCGTGCAGCAAGCTCCACATGCTGCAGTGTACCAGTGCATTCTGGCACATGTGTAAATAAGGTAGAGGTAGTTAGTTTGTTAGGAATTAACCACAAGTAGTTAAGTGTTGGTTAGGCAGTTATGGTCAGGTTACCCATTACCTACTGTTGTATATAAATAGATCTTCTCTGTATCTGATTTGTTAATACGAATAATATCAAGAACTCAACTTCTCTTTACTTTGATGGTTCACATAATGTATCACAATGCTCACCATGATATAGGGATACTACCCCCCTCAAACTCAAATAGGTTTTAAGATAGAAACCTATTTGAGATTGAAAGAGAGAGAACTAAGAGAAAGTGCGGAAACACAATAAATAAATGAATTTTGATTTAGATTCAGATATATATTGAAAGAGCAGAAGATTGAGATTTGACGATCGCGGCGGAGATGGTGGTTGATTGGTTATTAGAGATTGGGATTAACACAGGTATGTGTTGAAACTCCAACGGGCAACGAAGGTAAGGTTGCCAATTGGCCTCTCGCCAGTGAACCAGAAAGATAGGCTAGATCTTATAGTTCTGATACCATGTTAAGATAATTGTATAGAGAGAGAAATAAGAGAATCTTTATATATTAAATAATGTTGTATATTATATTATTGTATTGAACTATTACAAGAGGTGGCCTATATATAGTATTTATATAGAGTTAATCAATATACCCTGAGAATAAGAAAACATATAGAAATATGGAAATCTAACAAATATGGAAAGTAATATATTGTAAATATGCTTTAATAGAAATATACTATGACTATGCTATAGATCTCCCTTATTCAGTGGATTATCTTTGAGCAAAGGGTAAGAGTTGTTATATTTTGTTGATAATAATAATGGAACAATTCTATTTGTAGAACTAGAAGGTCGTGAGATAGTTCGGTTAATATTTGGCATGAGCGTTAGAGCATTGAGAGGACCTTTGCGCTCAAAATACCTCCTAAGCCCCAACCCACCTTGTTTGTGCACAGGAACAACTACCAAGAAGCAACCAACGGACTGCCCCTTTCACTTGACCTTTCTCTTGAACCCCAAACTCATCCAACACTTGTAGAGACTTATGTTATAGAGTAAATATATTAGAACTCCTTAAACTTTGGTATTTTTTTTTTCTTCATTACGCTCCTAACTAATTTTTTTTTATTCAAATAAGTTATCCAATTTTCTAAATTGATCCAATTTATCCCTTCTATTACATTTTGTTCATTTTTCTCATGAATTTGAGATTAATTTTATTAATTTTTTTTACACGTCTTTTTATAAAAAAAATTAAAATAATTAATTCTCAAAATGATCCATAATATCCTCTGGGATAATTGCACACCAATGAGATTTTAAAAAATATACTATATATTTATGGAAAAAATTATAATTATAATTATTAATTTTTCTTATTCATTTATTACCATTTTTATAAAACTGCACTGATTTGATGTTTCTCCATATGAATAATGTTTGGTAGCTCGAGACTTTTTCCCCCCGAATCTCCCTAATGCCCAAAACGACATCGTTTTGGGCATTAGGTTTTTTTTTTTTTTTTTTTTTCATTTTTTTCTCCATTTTCTGTCTGAAACTGAAACGCAGGGGGAAGAGGGAGAGGGAGAGGGAGAGAAAGAGAGAAGAAGAAGGAAGAAGAGGGCTGCGAGCCTCGCCGCCCGCCGTCGTCGCCTCACCGCCAGCTCGTCGCAGCGGCAGCAGCAGCTCCAGCTCCGACCGCCTCTCCGCCTCACCTCCTCCTCCCCCGAATATTATGCCCCCTCCAGTCCCTCCTCCTCCTTCTTCTTCCTGGTTCTGATCTGCAAAAAAAAAAAAAAGAACCAAAAACGGCGTCGTTTTTGGTTTGGGGGATTCGGGAGGGAGGGGTTTCGAGCTACGTAGCATCACTGTTCTCCATATATTATCCAACGTTCATGTATTAGTACAAATACTAATCACATGATGGTACATCAGATGGTATCAACAAAGCAAAGACACTACTCGGCAACATGTCAATCAACAACAGCCACGATTCAAATTCTGGTAAGGTTTGGCAATTGATTTAATTTTTTTTTATTCAAACAATTAATTTTGTCCAAAAATATTAATCTTTTTTGAGAATTTAATTTTTTTTTAAGTACAATTGTTATACTTCAAAATATTAAAAACAACGTCCAAATAGTACACATTAATGTATGTTTAGAAGAAGAAAAATTAGGTATACACTTAATTTTTGGCATAATGTACAAAGTGTGGCTACTCCGAAACTTAAATCTATAACCTTAAAGGTGTTAGGCCAATATTTTACCATTGAACCAATGGTTTAACTTTTCAAGATTATCCTTTGATAGTGCAATTAACACTTCAAAAATATTAATATTACGCTGTGTTTGGTTGGGAGATTTGAGAAAAGATTTGAAAAGGAAAAAATAGATGAAACGTGAATAAAATATGCATACATTTCACATAATTGCACACACTTTTTTCCTTTCCCTTTCTAAATTCCTTCTTAAATCTTCCAACCAAACACAACGTTAATGAATTTAAAAGGACAAAATAGGAAAGTCATGTTATTTTAGTTTTTGATTTTTGAAAAGAGACTAATATTTTGAGATAATGAAAAATAGACTAAGCGATAAATATCAAGGGGTGAAGAGAGTAAATTTTTTTATTTTTTGAATTAAAAAAGGTAATGTGTTGTATAATTACTAAAGAAATATTTAGGATTGTTTGGGGTTTGCTTATTTAGTACACTTTTTAACTTTTTATAAAAAGATATACAAAAAATAAAGAGGTGATATGATTCAAATAAATGTATTTCCAAATATCTTAACTTTTTTCTTTTAAAATAGGTTTTAAATTTTTTTTCTAATTACTAACATGCGAAGCAGTAACGAAATTTTGAAATTTAAAAGGAAACCCATTACAACAGTATAATAGGCATAGCTCGTGAATTAATTTGTTTGTTTGTACAACACTAATTTTGTACTATTGTGTTACCAATTTGTGACATATGCTACAATTTTTTGAATGTACTAGAGAAGCCAAAGCTATGGGAACGTATTCTTTCAACTTTGTCAACAATGGGGGAGACCATATGGAAGTTCATTAAGGCAATGTTTGGGGGAACCCCTTCTGGGCATCGAACCATTGAAGTCATGAAAGATTCTGGGCGCCAATTAAAATCTCTTATAGTGTTATTTTTCAATTCCATTGTGGCGATGTTTGGTGTGTTACTGGACCGCCTCGTCATGCAGGCAACAATGATATGAGCAACAAATCATATAGAGAACTGGAGGCAAAGAAGGTGCGTGGATGGACAACATTTACAAGGTTTAGATTTATTGGAGTTCTCACTTTTCAAAAATCCTAGCTATTACCTTGTTATTGTTGTTGTTTTTATGTTTGATTGTGTGTTTAGTTTCAGTATTTTTAAATTTGATGGTGTGTAATGTTAACTTATGATGCATGTTTGAAAATGATATATATAATAAATTGATACTTATTATTGTAGATGTTTGAGATTTTTTTATTTGATGGTTATTTTTTTTTAACTTACTTTCGTTTTTAGTCAACTTTTTTTAAACTTTAACAAAATGTTAGACTTCTAAATTCACCAGTATGCTTATACATTTTAATAAAGGATTGGCTTCCCTCCAGTCCTAAATAGGACTAAAGAGTATTGTTGGGCTCATATAGGCCCACCACGGATCCCGTTTCGATAATTTGAACCGTTTAATGTGTATAACACGTCGAGTATTATATGATTATAAAAAATCATGTTGATTGGATATTGATAGCTATTTAATCGATCAGATTTCTATCAACCGTTTATTTTTTCACCGTTCATTTTTTTTAATACAAAACTAATTTGATCACGCATCTATCAATATTTGATCAACGTGATTTTTTACAAATATATAGTATTCAACGAGTTTTACACATTCAACGGTTTGGTTTATCAAAACAAGACTCGTGGTAGGTCCCTACAAGCCCAACAATACCCTCCAGTCTGATCTGGGATTGGAGGGAAGCCAAGCCCTTTCAATAAATGGCATAGAACACCTATTACTTCAAAATTTTCATTTTATGTCATGGTATCACACAATTTTAAATTGTCAAAACAATTCAAATTGGTGTTATTGTAGAATCGTAAGTACGATGGTATGGGATAATGTAAGATTTGCATTTTTACCTTATTTTAATAGAAAGTAGAATTTTATAATTCTCGATTCGATCCTACAATTCAATCCACAAGACTCTCTCATGGATCTTACGTAAAATTCTGATTTTAACAATCATCTAATCCAAGGTTGTTAAAATCAGAATTCTATGTGGGATCTTTGGTAGGGATGGCAATTTAAACCCGGCCCGACGGGGGCCCGATCCCCCGATCCTGATTAGAACGAGTTTTTCTCGAAAATTATCCCCATAAGGCCGGGGATGGTATTAAAAATTAAATCCTCGATAATTTTCGGGCCGGGGACGGGGATAGGTTTCCCGACCCCGACCCGATCCCGGCCCGAGTAATCCCCGAATATATATCCCGCATATATATAGATATATGTTTAGGTTATATATATATATGTTTAAGTTACTTTTGAGACTCAGTCACCTCTCTTCTCCACTCACACTTGTCTCTCTTCTCTCAAACTCTCTCTCTCTCCCTCTCTCTCTCTATGCTGCGCTGCGGTGTTTACGGCGTCTCTCAGGCTCTCTCTCTCTCTCTCTCTCTCTCTCTCTATGCTGCGGTGCTCATGGCATCGGTGTCAGCGTCTCCTCCTCTCTTTCTTACCAACGTCACTCTTCCCTCACGGCGTCACGGCGACTCCTCCTCCTCTCTCTCTCACTGGCGGCAGCTCCTCTCTCTCTTACAGTATGTCCTTCTCTCTCTCTCTTTGTTTTTTGATTTTGTTCTTCAGATCTGTGAGTTCTGGGCACCGGTGCCAAGATCTGAGTTGAGGAGTGAAGAGACGAATCTGGTGTATGCTAGGGTTTCGTCATTTCTACTGTTGAATCTGTTGAATATATAAGCTAGGAGTGAAGAGACGAATCTAGGTGTGTTGTTGTTGATGATCCTCAGATCTGGAGCTGAATATGTATAATATGTTAAATCTGTTGTTGTTGTTGTTGTTGTTGTTGTTCATGAGTATTAAATTTGTTGTTGAATATTAAATTTGTTGTTAAATCTATTAGTGAATATCTGATCTGAAAGTGAATTTTTTTTTTTGGCCAGGGACTTTTCGGGGTCGAGGAAACCCGATCCCTGTTGGGGGGGGGGGGGGGGTGGTGACAGGTTCCCCGTCGGGGATCGGCGACGGGAAGGGCGATCCCCGGTCCCACTCTGCTCCGTTGCCATTCCTAAGATTGAGGGGTTGTTTTTTAATTTTTTACGAAAAAACGTGAAATATGAGTTGAGTTTGAAGTGATGTGATAGAGAGACTGAGGGGTTGTTTTTTGACTTTTTATTTAGATCATGACCGGCCAGTAATCACTAGATTACCTACGGCCTCAAACAAAATTTAAAAGTAATAATATATATATATATATATAGGGCCTGAAGCGGAAGCAGAATATAAAATTTGTCCATTGAGTTGTGCTTATATGACATTATACGAGTACGAAATAATCTTCTCCTATAATCCTGTTGATCAAGTTTGCGCTCCTCCAAACGTCGTCGCTTTACTCCCTGAAAACACAAACGTGAGCTAGCCGGCGGGTGTGTACCAGATACCTCTCCGATGCCTAAGTCAGCAAAATATGCAAATAGAAAAAAGCTCTGTGTATTCGGGAATCAAAGTTATGTTACCTCTACATAGGTTATGTTGTGAGCTTTTATAGGTTCCGCATAGCACAATCCTAGTAGGACTCTTATTCCTCTAAGTAGAGTCCTCCTAGAAATCACACTCCTGAAAGATAATGCTTATCCTTCAACACCCTCCTCACTGCTTAAACCAAGTGAGATGGTTTTACCACGGTTGGATGATAGTATGACCGAGCTAACACTAGCCCTTTGTCATACTTAATCCACTGTCTTCGCATGCAACACATAGCTCGGCTCTCTTTTCACTTGTACCTCGGTTTTGGCCTACTGAGACCGAACTAACTATACCAAGCTTCGACCGAGCTAACAAGAGCAAGGTCTTTCGCAGGACGCCCAAATACCTCATCTCTGAATACCATGACCGAGCTAATCACCACTCCGATCGTGGTGACTGTAACCACATTTGGACCAAGCTAATTACAAGGTCCTCTTTACTCAGCCCTTTTTACCTCGGCCCATAGAATGGACCATTACCACACCTTGGCCTAGCTCGGCCCTAATGCACATAAAAAACTTCCTCTCAATTGCCCCTTAATTCCATCTGCGTAGCATGATTGGGATTACATATCACCAGCCGAGCTAAAACTTTAGACTTTCAACCGAGCCAAGTTATTACCGGGCTACTGATTGGTTCGGTCAAAAAACATCTTTTCAGTCGCTGTAAAACTGAATCGCTTTTTTTTCCATGGACACGTGGCCAGCCCCCATTGGTGAAGTACAACTGTCACTGCCGTCTTCGCACTTCAAAAAATTTGAACAGTCCCGCCTTTTTCACATCTTTAAACAAAAACCCTATGCCTTGAACCAACCACTTCTACTATTCATCTTCTCTCTCTCTTTTGCTTGAGCCTCTATTTTTGTAACCTCAGCACCTGTGAAGCTTGCGTTCTTATCACCATCTTCGTGGTTTCAGATTTCCATCCTTCCGTCTTCAATCCGTAAGTAGCTCAATCATCTATTTCTTTCCATTCATTTTGCATTGTACTATAATACATAGGATAATATATATGTTTTGCAAAAACACTTTCTTGTAGTTTCCATAGGAAATAACCACTTTATAGAACCACTAGATTCACGAACAATCTGAGAAATGACGCTTTAGATCCAAAATAATACTCCAACCGAACTAGGATCTTGTTTGTATTAGCTGCAAGCCTAGCCAAACTGGATAACTCTTCTAACAATCTTATTCTCTCTCTACATATCATTGATCTCTCTCTCTCTTCTAACTTGGTCGTCGGAGGGTCCCCTGGGGGACTCCCATTTCCCGTTGGACACTTTTGCAGGTACTCCAGTGAGCTTAGTGATTGGGGAACGGTGTAGGAAGTGTGGATCAGCCCGACTCGCCCTGCCTATTCAGGACTTTGAGAGCGACGGGGGCTGTTAGCCCGCCTCCCCCTTGCATCCCTCCGGGGGTTCTGTCACTGGGGTTCCAAATCCGCCATGGGAGGGACAAAAGGCAAACCTTCACGCCTCCCACCCTCCTCTGGGGTTTGCCCATCAATGGCTGATTGCGGCAAGTCTTTATTGTGCGCCATTGCTTCCAATTAGAGAGGAAAACTCGATCAAGAGGTTTTGTTCTTTCTGAAATTCCCACAGACGGCGCCAATTGTACGAGCACGAAATAATCTTCTCGTATAATCCTGTTGATCAAGTCTGCGCTCCTCCAAACGTTATCCCTTTACTCCCTGAAAACACAAACGTGAGCTAGCCGGTGGGTGTGTGTCGGATACCTCTCCGATGCCTAAGTCAGCAAAATAGGCAAATAGAAAAAAGCTCTGTGTATTCGGGAATCAAAGTTGTGTTACCTCTACATAGGTTATGTTGTGAGCTTTTATAGGTTCCGCATAGCTTAATCCTAGTAGGACTCTTATTCCTCCAAGTAGAGTCCTCCTAGAAATCACACTCCTGAAAGATAATGCTTATCCTTCAACACCCTCCTCACTGCTTAAACCAAGTGAGATGGTTTTACCACGGTTGGATGATAGTATGACCGAGCTAACACTAGCCCTTTGTCATACTTAATCCACTGTCTTCGCATGCAACACATAGCTCGGCTCTCTTTTCACTTGTACCTCGGTTTTGGCCTACTGAGACCGAACTAACTATACCAAGCTTCGACCGAGCTAACAAGAGCAAGGTCTTCCGCAGGACGCCCAAATACCTCATCTCTGAATACCATGACCGAGCTAATCACCACTCCGACCGTGGTGACTGTAACCACATTTGGACCAAGCTAATTACAAGGTCCTCTTTACTCAGCCCTTTTTACCTCGGCCCATAGAATGGACTATTACCACACCTTGGCCTAGCTCGGCCCTAATGCACATAAAAAACTCCCTCTCAATTGCCCCTTAATTCCATCTGCGCAGCATGATTGGGATTACATATCACCAGCCGAGCTAAAACTTTAGACTTTCAACCGAGCCAAGTTATTACCGGGCTACTGATTGGTTCGGTCAAAAAACATCTTTTCAGTCGCTGTAAAACTGAATCGCTTTCTCTTCCATGGACACGTGACCAGCCCCTATTGGTGAAGTACAACTGTCACTGCCGTCTTCGCACTCCGAAAAATTTGAACAGTCCCGCCTTTTTTACGTCTTTAAACAAAAACCTTATGCCTTGAACCAACCACTTCTACTTTTCATCTTCTCTTTCTCTTTTGCTTGAGC